CCGTCCGTGTGACCGCAACGGTGTGACCGTACCCATAAACATCTTCCATATGAGCATCCCCTAATATGGTAATCCTCCATAAATATCGATATGCCCTTTATGACCACACCCTCCCCATATAGGAACCCCCGTATAGGCACCCAGCGTCCCCTGAATTTAAGAGGCCCCTGAATTTGAGCGTTCCCTGAATTTTTCGCCTTATTTTTTTATTTATATGGAGAGATAATTATCATTATTATTAATTATATTATTAATAATAATTATTATAATTATTAAATTATTATAATAATATTATTAATAATATTAATATTATTAATATTATTAATAATTATTATAATAATTATAATTAATATTATTATTATATTAATTATTATGTATTATAAAATCGCGTCATGTGACGAAAAATGACGGTCATTCTGCCCTCGTCTGTAGGAATGATCGGCGCCACCTAGACCACCTGTTAGTGTGTATACGCGCAATTGCATGTGAGAGGTGAATGTACATGTGAATGAGTCGAGTGGTGAGTGAGCGAGGCGTGGCAGCACCGACTGAACGAGCGTTCCAGTGTTGTTTGTCATTTTTTCACTCCTCTCGAGGAGCCAAATAAGTTCAACACTCGGATATTTATTGAAAACAGGGGGTTAATCCGTCAGGATGGGCTCGGAGAGCAATCAAGAGTATCCCAGGGCCTCCAGTGAGTTTATTTCCGAGGTTATTCATTGTTGATGGGTAACCTCAATCAATATTTACTAAATATTCAGTAGTGCCAGGGGTTTTGAGTCGTCAGTTCTTCAGTTGAAGGGAGCAGAACAATTAGAGATTGATTTTTCTATTTGTGACTTTCTTCTAGATTCGAAGATCTTCTTTTATTATTGCTCTGATTAATTAATGTTTTTAATTAGAGGGACAATGCAGGGGTTGTTGTGGGTTAGGGGCTGTTATTCACAATAATTCTAATTTATTTCGGTACCAAAGTCGTAAAACTGTTGAAGTCGTTTTTTATTGTTGGCCAGTTTTTAATGAATATCTCGGAATCTAAGGCAGGTAGCTAAATTTTCGGTATTACCTTTTTTGTAGAGCGAGTTGAGAGCTACGAAAAAGATCTCTACGAAAATTTCGCTGTCTCTCTTAGATTCGGAGATATTCCTCAAAAACTCGGCTGAAAACTGAGTCGAGGTAAACTGTTCTACTGATTTTATTTCCATCTGGTTTGTTAATTAGGGAATTACCTCGTTAATGAGGAAGTTCAGAAGAAAATGTTTAACGTTCATTAATTTTTACTAAAATCATTCATTATTGGAATAATCGTGATTATTGTTCCTGTTTTATTAATTTTGTTAATGAGATTTTGATTTGAAGCAGTCAAACTTAATGAATTAATTGGTTAATTTATTCATTTTTATCTGGTTTGTTATAATACGTTATGATCTCGTTAATGAATGAGTCTAGGAGAAAAAGTGAGGCCATTTTTAATTGATGTTTTTTTATTTGTTTTGCTCAGATGCAATTGTCTTCGGTGGCCTTATCACTTACATCGGAGGAGTCCTCCTCGTCATATCCTTCACAAGGTATTTTTCATATTCTCCATCATTTTCTGTATTTTTTTCTGTATAGAGTGTTCCTGTACCGAGTTAGTAATTCTATTATTATTTCGTTCATAAGTGACTTGAGAAAAATTTCAGGAAATATTCTCGCAGGAAATTTCTCCAGTCGCAAAAAAGATCTGACATTTTCTTTTACTATAAAAAAATCATGTTTTGTTTGGAGTTATTATCTCAAAATGAGACTTTCAAATGAAAAAAAAAGAAAGTCTCCATTCGAGATTCTCAAGTTTTTTCGTGAATACAGACTTGAATAATCTTTATTCATTGACACCAATTAATATTCAATTTTTCATACAGATTCGAAAAAATGAATATTTCTCCAAAAATCGATTTTCAACAATCACTCAAAAAATTGTCATCAAAATGGAATTAGTCGTGGCTCAAAAAATTGATAACAATACCCTCTTGATTCTATCAGAATATGATGGGGGGTCGCACAATTCGTTGTTGAGTTACAGCACATTGTTTATGCGATTTGAAAGAGAAAATCGGTTTTTCATGATTACTGAAACAATGATCAGTAATAGCAATTAAATCAGGGCTTGAAAAGTTAATTTCAATGGCTTTTTAATCAAGTTGAAAAATGGTGAGAGCAGCATCATTGCTTATCAAGTTACACAATACCGTCATGAGCTTTTTATATCAAAATCTCTATCTCTATTAAACTCAGGTACTAGTCTATTATGTTGAATACTTATTCATATTGATTCATGGTCCCGACTAACTTCTGACAGAACCTGGGTTAAACTCTGGCTAAATCCTGAATAAACCCTGATTAAATCCCGGCTATGCACTGCTTAAACCTCGATTGAACCTCGATTAAACCCGGACTGAAAACGAATTCGAGTCTTGAGAGGGTCTGAATGTAGAATTATTCGACGGAACGAAATAATACGCAAAATTTTGATGACATTTCAATTAACGATAGTACTATGACATAAAAAAAATAGCAGAAGCGAATAGTGAAGTGCGAATTAAACAAAGAGAAATCATTCGACAGCAAATCCCTAATTTCCTAGATTTATTCAAAAAATGTAATTGTCCACTTGTTTATCTTTCATTTCTAGTCCATACTGGGTTCAGTCTTATCAAGAGACATTCAGTAACTTCAAGCACATGGGGCTGTGGGAATACTGCTTCCACGATTTTCTGAATGTAGAATTATTCGTAGATTAATTAATTAATTAATGCAGAATTATTCGTCTGAATGTAGAATTATTCGACAGAACGAAATAATACGCAAAATTTTGATGACATTTCAATTGACGATAGTACCATGACATAAAAAAATTGCAGAAGCGAATAGTGAAGTACGAATTAAACAAAGAGAAATCATTCGACAGCAAATCCCTAATTTGCTAGATTTATTCAAAAAATGTAATTGACCACTTGTTTATCTTTCGTTTCTAGTCCATACTGGGTTCAGTCTTATCAAGAGACATTCAGTAACTTCAAGCACATGGGGCTGTGGGAATACTGCTTCCACGATTTTCGCTACCCCTACTACCAATTCGACAAGATGTTCGACGGTTGCCATCACATATTCTCGCAAGAGTTTCACGTGATTCGAGAGTGGCTATTGCCTCCCTGGCTAATGGCCGTTCAGACTTTCGTGACAATAGGCCTCCTATTGTCCTTCCTCGCGCAGGGTATTCTTGCGCTGGTTATTGTCAGGTGGCCATTGAGATGCATCTTGAGGAATGAGTGGCTGCTTTCCGGTATTGCTTTTGTCTGCGACGCTGTTACAGGTAAACAAAACATTTCTTGCGGGAGGGAAAAACAATGGGGAACCTGAGAATTGAGTAAATTGACCGTTATTCACTCGTCAGCGAAATATAATGATATGAATCATCTTCTGTTTGTCACAATGTCGTGACAGAAAATTTCACTTTTCGACAATTGTGTTTGAGTAATTGTGGAATTATCTCGGTAACGAGCGATTTTAATAGAAAATTTCAAGAGACTTTTTTTGTAGCTGAAAAAATTTCCAATGGAAAATATTTTTCGACATTTTTTCATCCAGAGATATCTGCGGAATTCTGATTTTCGAAAAATACGAAATGTTGGGAAAATTTCACAGAAATCAAAATAACGACTATTGCTATCTCTTTCATCTTCGAACTCGGTCAAAAGGGCATTTCAGCGAATTTTTTAAGCCGTCATTCATTGAATTTAGAACATGTTTTTTCGTTAGCGTGTTACAACTGAATTTTTAAAAAATTCGACAATTAAAAAAATGAAACGATGAATTACTTTTTAAGTAATGGCGATGGCTAGGGCTTGGCAATACCTACATTTGAGAAAAAATAGATTCAATTCCACAGTGAGAGAAAAACAAACAAGTCTTGTTTGGGCCAACAAAATCGCTAGTTGAAAATTGCCAAAAAAGAATTTATTTGGTTCGAATTTGAAAGTCTCAAACATGAATAATTGTTCTGCTCTCGGNTTCTGCTTTCGACAGCAACGAAATATTTGGCTCAAGAGGCGGATAATTCACACCAGACGGTGCCTTTTCAGGATGAAAATATCTCATACAGAGGAAAATTTATCAACAAATATTTAATCCCTAAGTTACAAGATTGCTATCATATGATTATTATTGTTTCATTTAAGGGTTCATTTGTTGTCTGTGATTATTAGACAGCCGAAACGAAAAACTACTATCCCTTGTTTCGCATAAAACAAAGATTTTTCGGGAGCAAAATACGTATGGGAGTATCGAATAACGGAGTAGTGCTAGAAATGACATTTCTCGCGTGTACAGAGAATGCAATTTTTTTTAAACTACTAAATCTATTTTTGCGACAAAACTTTTTCATTGCGGCGCACTCTCTGCATGTTTGGCACAAAAAATCCTTTTTTGATGATTTTCAAAAAACTATTTTCTTGGCACAAGTAAGACTTCTTTGAGACCCTTGTCGTTTTTCTCTCAGTGCACCTATTCATTATGCATTTTCAGACTTTTGGGATCATAATGGATCGATAAAACACATAAAATAGAAAACTTAAAATTGAACAATTACAATGCTTCCATGCGGAAGCAAAAATACGAAAATAGACCATTACGTTGCTCCACTCGTCCACTCGCACATTGAATCATTCCTCATTTAACCGCTCTCCCATTAATTTTTTTTTCTAGCATTTCTACTATTCCTGGCCGTCTCAGTGTTCGGCGGTCAATGCTGGCGTCGTGACTGGCTGATGTACCCAAATTGGAACTACCTATCCTGGTCATTCGCATTTGCAGTGATAGCCTCCATGTTTCACGGTGTCGCGGCGTTTTTCCTGTATCTGGATGCACGCGCTGGCTACAAAAATCGGGCGCAATCACGAAATCTCGTGGTACAAATGCAGCCCACGTCCCACAGCCGCCAGAGCTTTGCCAGTAGCCGCCAGGGATACATATAAATCACATTTCCATTGGATAATGCGATAACTGTATAATTTAAGTATCAAACTCCGTCCGAATCTCATTCTCCAAGTATTTTACGCTAGAGTGATTTCATGAAGTTTTTCGATCGATCGAATCGTTGGAGATTGCACTCGATTTAGATTTAATATCGAAGCATCAGTTTTATATTTTTGCGAATTATATATTTTTATTTAATGAATTTCGCTTGGAGGAATTCCTGAAAATATTTCACTGATCAATTGATTTGAAGAATTCATTGTTCGTAATTAGGTAATTTATGGTTATCTAGATTACTGGTGATTTGACAGGGAAATTTTTCATTTTTGTCACCTTTACCCAGAGATATGACGAATGTAAATCAAATAAAACTCAACATTTGACATTTATTTTGACCCTTTATGGTTTTTTCTATTTTTTCTATCCATTCCAATAGCTTTTTACGTTGGAAATTAATAAACTCAAATATGTATTTTAATTAAAAAAATTTAATCCAAGTAAAGGATTATTATATGTTAACAAAATTATTCTCTTCGTTGTTTAAACAATGATTCCATTTTTAACAAATAAACTTTTTATTTCGATCAGGCGAACATTCGTTTCTATTCAAAATTTTTTTTTTTTTATGAGAATAAGATCTCAAATAAAAAGCAAGTTTAAGCTTAAGTTTGAAAGCTTTATTACAAGCTATTTGAATGAACTCATTTATTCGATTCAAATAAAGTTTAATAAAATTGTTTATTTTTTCTTCACTTTCATTGTTCATATAATGAAACGAGCTGTGTTCCATTCTCCTGTAATAAAACGAAAATATTCTGCAGAAAAACTCAAAAGAATTCAATTTTCCCACACAACTTATTCTATTGAGATATTTTCTCTAGAATTTCCCCAGGTCAAATTTTCTAAGTTAAGAAAAATAGAATGAAAAAAACTTGGAAAATTTGAGCCGAGAAAATTGTCTAGAAAATATCTGAAGAGAATACGACAAAAAAATATAATTCAATTGTCTTTTTCAATTTCATATTTTCTACAGAACATTTCAATATAATCCAACAGAATTTTCCAACGAATTCGCTAAGTTTTTCTCGATTTTGCCTTAACTCGTTCGAGAACTCGTTCGTTTTTCTCTCAGATATTCAAAATCACTGATTTCAGTAAACTAAAAATTAATATTTCCTCTCCACACCTAGACATATTTTCACGAAAAATAAATACTTGAAAAAACTGATGCTTCTGCCTTGACGCTTAGTGATGCAAGCCAATCCGTCCACTATTTTTACAACTAATCTTATAAATCCCCTGTATGTACACTAAGTAACGCACACGAATATATCCCTACATAAACTGAGATCGATTTTCCTCATTTCTCTACCCCCTGTCCCGAGAATAGCCAGGCGTCATGCATTGATGCAGTACTGGTAAAGTTCCAGTGTAAACAGCCCTCTAAAAATAAAAGAAAAGACGAGAGAAGGACAAAAAATGTGTCGAAAATAGCGACAAAAGTTTTTTCCCCCATTTGCACATTTTTTTTTCCCCCACGACTTTTTCACTTAAAAGTGAATAGAGTCTGGAAAGGTCAGACACACAAGGGAATAGCGTCACTTTACGTTTAGTGTGACGTGTCACTGCATCGTAAAACACGAGAGAATGGCCTCAAGCCGGGCGGTGGGTGAATCACTGGGAAAATCAATTGTCTTGGCTGTGTGGACAAATGCCAAGTGTTTCCTCGGCTCTTTTTTAGAGAATGAAAAAGTTATTTGGCTCACCAGGTATCTGGCAATTAACAGCAATGTCGATGACCTCACGAATGGTGTCGACTGGTGGATTACCATCGAGAATGATGAGTTGTGCTTGCTCGAGGGCCGATCGATTCTCGTGTATGAGGGATACGTCGATTGAATCAAAAATATCCATTTCGCCTACGGCAAATCGACATTCGCCGGCTCCGTCTACCGCTGCGGTGTACCTGGGGGAGAAATAAATCGAAATTATGATTTGGTTTGGAAGAGTAATGGAATTGTTCAATTTTTCATTCAGTTTTTGGGGGGAATTGGGGTGATAATGATGATTGAATTTGGAATTACTTTTGGGGAATGTTTATTGCGGGACTGAGGAAGAATGAATGGCTTTGTTGCTTCTGAGTGGGAGCTTTGTAATCGTTCAAATTTAAATTTTGGATTTTTTGTGGTATATCGAGTCAGTATGATCCAAAAAGTCCGAAAACGCAATTTTTGGACTAGGACTTTCAATTCAGGTGAGAAGTGGTAAAGTGGTACAAGTAAATTTTGACTATTGACCAGTTTTCAATGAATATATCGAAATCTAAGGGAGAGAGCCAAATTTTTGTTATAACCTTTTTTGTAGAGCCGGTTGAGAGCTACAACAAATGTAATTACGAAAATTTCGCTATCTCCCTTAGATTCCGAAATATTCCTCAAAAACTCAACTCGGAGATAAGTCGACTTAAACCGTTTTACCACTTCGCGACTAAATTGTTCGTTAATGAATGGATAGAATTGAATCTTTTTTTTTCAAATGTAGGTACTGAGCCCTATCGATCGCCATTAATTAAAATTTAATTCGTCGATTAGTTTATTAAATTTTCGAATTTTTTTCGAAAATCGGTTGTCCCACGATAACTAAAAAAATGTTCTGAATTGATTGAATGATGACTTGAAAAATTTGCTGGGATGTCCTTTTGACCGAGTTCGAAGATGAAAGCGATAGCAATAATCGTTATTTTTATTTATTTGAGTTTTCAAAAATTTTGTATTTTTTGAAAATCAGACTTCCGGGGATATCTTTGAATATCACGCTTCAAATGAATTCAATCACAGTTTAAAATGTTTTTTTTTAATGCCATTAAGTCGAAGTCATATTGGTTGATTTAATTTTTACGATGATTTTTGAAAATCGTGACCCATCATCAATTTTTAGTCATCCATCACCAAATTTCAGTGATGGAAATCAGTGATGATCAGGGTAATTCTAGTCAGTGTCCACTATCGCCAATCAGTGATAGATTTCTATAAATCAGTGACATGTCCCTGTAAATCGGGGACATGCCACTGAAAATCCGTCAACTCCTGAGATTAAAAAAAATTCTCTCTGTACATATTTTCATTTTACCTCGCAGTAGTTTCACCCGACAACATTCTCACAGTCCCCCCAGCCCCCACGAGATCCCTCACGATTGTCCTGCCAGCCTCATCACCGCCGACAACCGACAGGAACTTGGTCCCTTCCACTCCAAGTGCAACGAGAGCAGCAGCGATATTCCTTCCCACGCCCCCATAGCTCTTCCGGCTCTTTCCCTTGTGTGTTCTGCCATCAAACTGAGGGAGCACATAAACAATGCGGAAACTTAAATAAACCAGATAGTAAAATCACGAGAACTTTCGAGTTAAAATAAGCTGACATGAATTGTCGCTGTAACGATATCATGGGAACGAAAAGATCGGGAAGTTCTATAGAATATTTTCTACCGAATATTTCCACAGAATCGGCCACAAAGTAATAACGTTCAATAGAAATCCAATAAAATTATCTAGCAAATTCGCTCGTTTACCTATTAATTTCACGCGTGATGGCATTTCAGAATGAGACTATCTCCCATAAAGTGAAGTTAAATGACGAACATTTCGGTCGATGTAACAGGGTTCCTATCCCATCGTCATTGTTATTCTATTCAAAAATTAATTTGTGTAAACAGATAGATGGATAAGCTACTCGCATATCCTTAATCAATTCAATTTGAGTAAACAATTTCCCTGATGTACACTGAGAGAAAAACAAACACGTTGTCAAACAAGTCTTGTTTGGGTCAACAAAATCGCTAGTTGAAAATTGCCAAAAAAGAATTTGTTTGGTTCGAATTTAAAAGTCTCAATCATGAATAATTGTTCTGCTCTCGACAGCAACGAAATATTTGGCTCAAGAGGCGGATAATTCACACCAGACGGTGCCTTATCAGGATGAAAATATCTCATATAGAGGAAAATTGATCAACAAATATTTTATCCCTAAGGTACAAGATTGCTATCATATCATTATTATTGTTTCATTTAAGGGTTCATTTGTTGTCTGTGATTATTAGACAGCCGAAACGAAAAACTACTATCCCTTGTTTCGCATAAAACAAAGATTTTTCGGGAGCAAAATACGTATGGGAGTATCGAATAACGAAGGAGTAGTGCTAGAAATGACATTTCTCCCGTGTACAGAGAATGCAATTTTTTTTTTGAACTACTAAATCTATTTTTGCGATGAAAATTTTTCATTCCGGCGCACTCTGCATGTTTGGCACAAAGAAATCCATTTTTGATAATTTTCAAAAAACTATTTTCTCGGCACAAGTAAGACTTGCTTGAGAACTTTGTCGTTTTTCTCTCAGTGTAGCGAGGAGTAAAATGCCACCATTCCCTCTCAAGCCCCACTCTTCCGAGTCATTTCCAAAACAAACAACCCTAAACTCCCCAATTCCCAACCCTAAACTCCTCAATGTCCTCCACAATTCCCGAAAAGCCCCTCCACTCAAGCCCCACTCCCCATTAAAATTCCGCACGTGTCACTCTAAACCCATCAAAAAAGGAACTCCATCGCGTCTATACCCCCCACAGCCGTCAACCCTCGCGAATAATGAATCACCCGCTCAAAACTTCCCTCCCCGCCCGCCGCTAAACTTTCCCAATCTAAAAAAGGAAATCCGGGGTGATTGTCCGTCTGCCTATCTCTAAGTTTAAATTCCCCAGTTTAATTCAGCCCGGCGATATCGACTGATCGATAACCCTTAAACGCAAAATCCCCTCGACCTCCCCTCCCCCTCTCCCACCCAACAATCTATGAAAGTTGATTTTACAGCAGTTCTTCATCTCATCTTTCTGTCAGAAGACATGTGACGGTCACTTGATGCGTTGTTTGTCTTTTTCATTTTTTATTTCTACCAATTCCATTGGTAGAAATAAAAAATCCGAATGGATCCGTTGAAATTTCATTTTTTAATTGAAAAGCAGCAATTTTCATTGAAAACGCTTCCTCGGAACATTTGACCTTCTAAAATTGAGAATTACATTTCGGTTTTATTCAGTGGGATAGGCATATCTACACGACCCCATTTTTGAGAAATGTTTCCATGTGAAAATCAATGATAGAACAACGATATGTCATTCTATGCGAAAAACGTTTTTTACATCAACTGCTCTATTTCAAAAAGGATGGAATCGATCAATCTGAAATTTTACACAGGAGTGCAACTCGATGATACTAATTAATCCTCAACATTTTAGAACTTTACCACATCCTTCACTCATGTAATGGAACGTCGAAGCAACTTTCAGACAAAAAAATAGAAAAGCGCCAACATCTCGTGAACGTTGTAGGAACGGCTATATATATTTTGAAAGAACTAGATAGGAGACATCAAGACGAATATTTTGAAAAAAAAATTGAAATCGGATGAATAGTTTTTGAGATATTGAACAATATAGTTTTATACAAAAAATTGAATATCTTTAAAACTACTCATTCGATTTCGCCCATCTGAAATCCCATCCTGTAATACAGTAAGAGCTAGAATCCTACCAAATTTCAACTTCCTATCTCAATTTTTTCAGGCGTTATCGTGTTCACATCAATTTTATCACAAAAATGAAAAATGTCAACTACTGGGCGACTCGCAATAGTGAGCTAGGCATATTATGGTCCGATTCGATAGATATTATCATAAGGAATATTTTGACGCCAAAAAAGTTCATTTGATGCAGTAGTTTTCGAGATATTGAGAAAAAAAAAATTTTCCGGAATCGCTGTATCTCAAAAACTACTGGACCGATTGAGCTGAAATTTCGCCCAGATGTGCTCCCAAACAATACCAATTACGAGCCAAAATTCCAGATTTTTATCTATCACTTTAGTCCTTTTTCTGTGAAAATTTATTAAAAAAACCTAGAATTTCACACGCACATGCGGACGTACACACAGGCATGCTCTAAAAACACCATATCTCAACGTTTCATGCCAATCTAAGTAATTTCCTAGCAAAATTAGAGAATCGAAAAATCGACCGATTACAGTTTCCATTCGGAAGCAAAAACGAAATCAATTTTTTTATTCTAAAAACATTGATTTCGTTTAAAAAATATAAATAAACGGAAACTAGAGGAGTTTCCTACCACCCCTTAATCACGAAATTCCCCCCCCCCCTATCGCCGTTGATGTGACAACAGCATTTCTCCGCAAAAAAGTAAGTCCGAGGTGATTGTCCGTCTTCCCACCTCTAAATTTAAATTCTCCAGTTTAATTCACCCCGGCGATAACGACCGATCGATAACCCTTAAACACAAAATCCCCCCCCCCCCTCCCTCCCTCCCGCCACCCACCAACAATCTATCGAAGTTGATTTCACAACAGCTTTCCTCGGAAAGCCACCGAAAAACCCGAAACTCGAGGCAATATAACATTGTGAAGATGTGCGCAAGCTCTCCGGCACAAAAAGCCCTCCCCCCCCCTCCCGCGCCCCCACCCCTAGCGGATTCCATCCCTTCCCCTCATCTCTCTATTCCCTTACACAGTTGACCATCGGCTTTTAGTCGGGGATTGAGAGGCGCTGGTGTTCCTTCCTCTCGAATTGAAGTGAAATCTCCCTCCCAGGACATCTATTTTCATAAACTATTGATGGATAAAGAGTGAGTGGCTGATCCCAGTGACAATAGTAATGAAAAAAAAAGAAAACTCGTGGCTGTGCAGAGGTGCAAAGAGGGAGGAAATTGAGTGAACAATTCAAATGAAAATTCACCGCCATCTTCCAGCTGACGAAGGACTCGTCTTCCCGAATAATATTGGCATCAATCCACCCCCTGACTCCCACTGTCATTCCCAAGGACTCGGGGATTCATCACGAGAGAGATGGCAAATGCTCGTGAACTCCTCGCGGGATTCAATTAATTTGTCAAGTGGGGGGAGAAGAAAAAATGTGCTAACGGGGTAATTTATTTTTCACGAGTGACTCTGAAGGGGTTGAGAGGAAACTTCTTGCAGGAGTGTTTGGGGCTCTCCCGCCCCCTCATTAAGTGACACTGGAGGACAATGTGGTTTATTCGTCATGTGACAGTGCGGGTTGTGTGCAAATCGTGCGGGTTTATTAATAACAATTGGAATGGCATTATTGTGCTTTTTTACGTGGGGTGCAGTGTGTGGGGTATGGACAAACGGTGATTGATCGTTCGAGCTTAAATAAGGGGGGAAGGGGGGTGGGGGGAGAGTTTGGATCAATTTTATTGACATAAATCGTGAGGGGGAGAGAATATTCGAGGATTTTTTTTTGTGACTGATGGACGGTTCTGCGATTGCATCGACAGGATTATCAATCAGGGATAATGACCATACGGAAGCCAGGTTGAAGTCGACCGGAAGTGGATCCGTTAGCGGTAAAAAATCTCTGACTATTCGGTTTTTTGATGAAGGGAAGAATGAGCGAGTGGGAAATTGCGGTTGTTTTGCTTATAGTGTTGTTATTTTGCTCATCATTTCCTTCTATCGTGTGTAATTTATTGTTTATTTCATTTTATTGAATTGAATAAGATTTATTTTTAACTACTTTTGGCAATTTTCAACTCCGTTGAAGGTTATCGGCGTCATTATTCTTGTTGTCCCTTTCTTCTATACAACCGATTGTCTTTTTTACTGGCTTTTTTATTGTTAATGGGAAATTTTATTTATACGTACTTGAAGGAATTTGAAACATCATATTTGAAGAAACCATGAGAACGCCACTTTCAGGGAAATTCATGAAAAATTCGAAATTTTCAACAATCATCGTAAAAATCAAATCAACCAATATAGCTATTGTAATCATTTTTTAACTTCGACTTAATGGCATTAAAACAAATATTTTAAGCTGTGATTGAATTCATTTGAAGCATGATATTCAAAGATAACCCCGGAATTCTGATTTTCAAAAAATACAAAATTTTTGCAAATTTTCAAATAAATCAAAATAATGATTATTGCTGTCGCCTTCATCTTCGCACTCGGTCAAAAGGACATCCAAACAAATTTGTTAAGCCATCATTCAATTAATTCAAAACATGTTTTTAGTTATCGTGGGACCACCGATTTTCGAAAAAAATCGAAAATTCAAATAACTAATCCATGAATTCAATTTTAATTAATGGCGATCGATAGGGCTCAACAATATCTACATTTGAAAAATACGATTCTATTCCATCCATTCATTAGCGAACAATTGCATTTTCGGACTTTTTGGATCCTAATGGGTCGATATAACAAGAAAAATCCAAAACTTAAATTTGAACGATTACAAAGCTTCCATTCAGAA